TGCAAAGAGATCGCACATTGCTTGTACTCGGGACGTCGAAGTGTTAGTGAGTGGCAAAACGGTGTGGACGGGCTCTCTTCCTGAAACTTTTGGTGACGAGGACGACAATATCTGCACGTGGATTGACTTACTGGGCTCGGCAAAGAAGACTTCGCGTACATCTCGTAATGAGAAGAGCTCTGTATCGTCCGAGCGACACCTAACAACTCGAGTGGACGAGACAAACGCTGCGAAGTCAGTCAGTGGAACTCCACTGTGGCTATCTGGATCGACTCCTTCGTCACTGTTAACCCAGCGATTACCAGCTACAAGTCGATCTAGTGAGCTTGATACGTGGACTGCAGACGAGAAACCATCCAATGGCAGTACAACCAGTCGTCGACGACAGGGGAAGCCGCTCTACAGTACTCAAAGTACTTCAAGGGATGCGAAAGAGGCTTCTACAAGCGATGATCGTGTAGAAATAAAGTGCTCGAGTCCCGTCATTAAAGCGCAGAAGCCTCTTGTAACAGCTCCTGCTCTCGCGTCTTTATCGTCCTGGGATAGTCTGGAAAAATTCAGTAAGACAAATCGAAGTCGCCTTGCACAGCCTACTGATACCGACCAACAGGAAAGCTACGACGCCAGTCCATCTGCGAGTCGTACGTCGTTTACGACGTCTGCACTTTTGACTGCGTTACGGCAAGGTCCTTCCAGCCTTATGAGTGCGTCACCGAATAACCCAGACAGTATAAAACCCGGCAATCGAGAAGGTTTTAAAGCTGTTGAACGTCAAGAACCAGTGGCAGATATCCCAGTGCTTCCAAAAGGGAAATGGCTACAACTTGAGATTCTCAGTACGTGGGGTGATCCCTACTACGTGGGTCTCAATGGCATCGAGATCTTCAATCACCTGGGCGAACTTCTTAAATTTAAAGATCCAGAGACGCAAGTTACAGCTCGTCCCGAGAGCATCAACGTGTTAGAAGAGAACACGGACGACTCTCGTGTTCCTAGAAATCTGGTGGACGGAGTGAACTTAACTTGCGATGATTTCCACATGTGGCTCGCTCCATTTACGCCCGGCCAGCCTCATTACGTGCTACTGGGTCTGGAGGCTACCGTCTCCGTGTCGATGATACGTATCTGGAACTATAACAAGTCACGGACACACACATGTCGAGGTGTTCGAGAGGTGCGGATCGTTTTTTACGATAAAATTCCGGGGAGTAAAGTAGTGGATAAAAATACTGGAAATTTGATTTTTGAAGGAGAAATCCGCCAGGCGCCAGGTCTCGTCGGTGCAGATAGCTTGGAACTGTCCAATGAGGTGATTTTATTCACCCAAGACGCAGCCATCCTTGAGGCTATTGAGGCGAATGATGACGCATTGCGAAGACTGGCAAAGGAACAAAAACGTGAAGATGAAGAAGCCCAGGAGATTGTGGATAATTTACATCGATCCATGGAGCTTCAACGTCCGCGGACTTCTGATACTGGGTCTAGGACAGTGGAAAGCAACGATGAAGATCATGTACTGAGATATGGTAGACCCATGACGATGGCAAGCCGACCGCTAGCAAGTAGAGATACAACCGTGAAGACTTCGATTGACTCGTGGGTGGCTGAAGAACCGCAGCAGATGTCTCCGGATGCTGCTAAAGTGTCAGCGTTGGGAGCCAGCAACGATGGACTTGTCAATGATGAAAATCTGCCTCGAGGTCGACGACTTACACTGCAGTTGCACAGTACATGGGGCGATAGAAATTACATCGGATTGACGCAAGTGGAGGTGCTGGTTGGGTCACACGGAGCGCCTCTTCCTATGAATATCAACAATTTGGAGGCAAAACCGCGAGATTTGGCTTCGGTAAGTTGCGTTAAGAAGTCTTAAGTCTATGTATTACTAAGTCATCGATTTTTCGTACAGCTGGGATACATTGGCGATCCACGTACTCTGGA